ATTAAAAATATATAAGGCCAGAACACAATTAAGGAAGGTAAAATTTCGAGATTGTAATCATCAGGAACGTGAAATGCTAAACGTAGTTGGGTCGTAGCGCGATCATACATCCTGTATGCCAACGAACTAAAAAAACAGCTCACAATTACTTTTCTATTACAACTTGAAGAATTGTTTATGCCAAGGCCTTATTTGAGTGTCCCCTCAACCTAAAAAATACTGTTTAAATTTTACGGGATTAAATGCATGAAGCTCAGAAGAGAGTTGTAATAATAAATTCGGACCACTGCTCCTTCCGTAAAGTATCCTCATAAAACTGACTACGAATATAATATTCTGCATGTAAATGACATTGCACTTCGCTTGAAGTCATGCGGAAATATATCATTGGAAAACTAGCGAATTTTGAGCGCAGTTCAGGGGTTAAGAGAGCTCTGTGGCCGCGCTAAGTCTGAGATCAGTTACCTAGTACAAGTGGACTTTTACTGTCCGAGATCGAAAGTTGGTGAGAAGATGACGAGGAATCGCCAATAAAATTAGCTTAAAATATCAAATGGGTATGCCAAAGTCGACTAAAGTAGTTTATTCGAGTAGAAATGTCTGGCACTTAGCTTGAATTGCGCGGCTACATTTTTGGGATGGAGTCAGCGAACCGAAGCCTCATTCTTAATCGTAAAATTGGGATTGAATTCGTCTCGGGGAATCGGAAAATTAGGAGAATGGAGCTTTCAAATTTGCCGCAACAATTATAGTCAATTCATTTCTCTTGTCTAATCTGAAAAGGAAAATATTTTTGGGCAAACGTAGTGTAGTAAGGTCGTTCGTTAAAGTATGGCTGGCAGCAGACCTTACCACGGAGTGAATGTGATAATATTTCGTTCCTCCTCCATCGACCTAAATTTTTTCATGCAAATGTATGTACGAAAGGTTCAAGTCGAAAGAAAGCAAGAAACAAAATATTAAGGAAGAGAAGAGATTAATTTCGAGTCGGAACGTGTTCGGTCGCTACCACTCTCGATTCCCGTGTCACTGAGACAAACTCTTTTTCACTCACGTTTTTGGACGGCATCCAGGTTTGTTTATGTAGTTATAATATATGATAATGACCTAAAGGGTAATCGAGGTCAGTCACATGAGGTATTCATATTCATTATCTTCATATGATGTAGAATTTTTAAATAACGCATCATCCATGCGGCTATGCTCTGATGCACTTTATAACACTTTGCAGGGAACTTTAGCCAAACTGCATAGAGCAGTTTGCAATTTTTGAAATTTATTGAAATATGGCTGGAGCACATAACCGCACAGCAGTCTGGAGCTCTACAACCTGAGCTATTAAACCAGGCGGTGATGTGGGCCCTTCATTAATAATAAAAATCAGGAGCCCATTAATTGGCTACCGTGAAATTACTGTAAAGAAATGCTCAATGGAAATTTGATGCCTGAGTTTAATTTCCCACACACTTCGGAAAAGATGGGCAAGCTTTTACGCCAACTAACAGGACGCCCACGCGAAATGTTAAGCAACATTAAGTGAGACCAGTGAGTCATAGAAAAAACACATTTATTGTCAATCAAGGGAAGGAATTGAGTAAAACTGAAACACTGAAAAAAAGGAAAAAACGGTTGCTGATCGGTTTTGCTCAGAAAAGCATCATCTGTATTCTAGTGGCGTTCATCTTCGCAATTACCCTCCCCTCCCCCGCGAGATATTTTCGTCAATCGCATGAGTTCACGCTTCTCCTGTCTCGTACTCTCGGACGCTTTGCGAACTCTCCGCCTTTCAACCGGTAACGAACATGAGCGTAAGGGAACATGGAAAGAAGATGTGCTGTTTACTTCCCGGCTTCGTTTTCTGAACACATTTTGCCATATAAGTAGACGCCGCAAAACTTTCTCCTATATGGCATCAGTTGGATATAAAGGAGCATCCATTTCCGCCTAATTTGGCTTGGCAAGTAATTGATCTCGAATAGTGAGAGACTACAATAATCTGTTCTTTTGAGGGCATGTATATCCGGTTTAAAAAAAAAAGACAAGTTTATCCTTACGGGAAGCAGCTGGATGCAAAGTCGTACCCTTTTTTCACCTAATTTGGTGGCATAGCAGCTACAGTTATGGTTACGAGTTTATTTTAGCTAGATATGCGCAAACATAGAATTTTATCTGCATCGAAGGGAAGTCGTTTTTGTAAGTTTTGTGTAAATTTATCGTGACAGTGGTCATGTCCGAACCATTCGCTAGTCACTTGAACAAACGAGAATATATCTCGAGTTCGACGAATTTTAATTAAAACAAACAAAGATAAAATTATTTCGAAATTCAATTATTACTGCGTTTGTTGTGATTCATCCTAGGTAACTTTGCAGTGAGAATCTTTGTTTTTTTCTTTTCTTTTGATAAGTATCACTATTTCTTTACAACTTAATTGCTCGTCGTAAAGCCATCTAGGATTCCGCCTTGGGCGATATGGGGCCATACAATCAAGGATAAAATTGAATGGAAGGGAAATCCGAATACGGGATACCCGACCCCTATCTCCCTCACGCACTTAACCCAATCCCAATGGGGCTTCAATCGTCAGGTTGTTTTATCTCCATGTTTTTTTATCACACCAATGTCGCGTGATGAAAAAGTTCACTTTTTAGAAAAGCTTGGGTAACTTTCTCTTTTTTTAATACCTCCCTTGGATGATTTAAAATTCCTAGCCCTTTTTTTCTTTACAACCTAAATATTTTCCGTATCGCTCACTTTTCGTGAATTCGTAAGATCGGCCATAGCTTTGCAATGCGTACACACTTAGAGAACTGTTCACACTTCCTGGATTTTACAATCGTTCAAATACCGTTAGATGTTAAAGATGACTGAGCATTGTCTTCTAAATGCGGAGGATTTTTGTGAAGTTATCCGTTTAATTCTCGTTGTAATCCGCTTCCAATTTGTATAATAATCAGAAAAGAGACAGTAAATTGAATGTATTTTAATACAATAAACGTCAAGAACGGATCACTGTCAGTATCTTAGCAACTGCGCAACTCCCCTCTCCTAACCAACAATAGTCAACTGATGATAAGTTAGGGTTAATGTTAGGTTAGGGGAGGGGTAGGTGGGCAGCTGCTTAGATGCCAACATTGATCTTAATCAATTTGGCGTGTTCACATGTTAATCATGAAACTTTTTTATGGATATGGATGACGTAAAATTCCCCATTTGGTTGTTTGTTTGTAGCTCAGCCGATTCATTCACATCCTGTTGTGATTGTTGATTGGCAAAGTGCAAAGTGCTAAAGTCAGGGTTCACAGATCTATGTTAATTAGTACCAAGTTATAGATCTTCGGACATTCGCATGGGCGCCGTAAATATCGCGTGACCGTAGTGATGAAATAAACAAGTATTACATGTTTAAATGTGAAAAGTGGCAAAATTCCAAGCTGAGATACGAACTATCACGAACGAAAATACTTAAAAATTCCAAAAACTGACTTATTTGGTATTATCTTTTTATAGCTTCATGCAGAGTTTCCCCTTCACAACGACTTCCAATGTGAAATTTTGTGAAATTTTGTCAAGTCAAAGATTCGAGGAAACTTGGTTTTCAAACTGACCGGGCCTTAAAAATACCAAAAAAAAAAAAAAAAGGAAACACACACGAAAACAAAAGCAAACAAACAAGGTGAATTTATGCGTGACAAACATGTGGTTAAATGGTTGTTCAGTCTCAGCTTTACATTTTCTTATCGTTAAAGCAGGTCGTTATATTATTTTGGATTGGTAATAATACAAGTGAATGAACTATTTTAAATCTGATATACAGTAAAATCAGTATACAAAAAGGTGCGAATGACCTTGAACATCAGTTGCACTCATCTGGTGATTATTTGTAACCATCCTTGCTGCAAGTAGCTGAATTTAATCACCTGCAATCAGTGATACGTTAATCAAAAGAGAGATGACGAGAATAGACCGTGTCATCAGCACCATGATAAAGTTGTGACCTATCGGCTAATTCTCATGACTAATTTATGGTTAATTGTAAAGTAGTTCAAAAGGAGAGTTATTAATCAGACATTCTCGAGTATCAAAGGTTACATGGCAGATTCACGTGACCCCCATCGGCTGTGACACTATCCGATGACGATTCGTGACGAGCACATGATCATTACGTCCTTATTCGGCTATTAATGTGACTCGCTAATCGACGGGAGGTTAGAGTTTGAGGTTCGCGAATGGAAAAGAAATTGAATCAACGACTGATTCGGTTCAATGCTGAAAATGGGCATAAATTGTGATAAGATTTCCTCGCAGGAGGAGTCGGAGTCAAATACCAGGCGAGTACCCTTCCCAGAAACGCGTATTATCAAATCATGAGTAGTTGCCATTACTACGAGCCACAAACAAACTGAAACAAATTGAGACTGAAGTAACTAGTTAGGATGTCATACAGCAATTCTGTCTGTTGCGTGACATCCCAACAGATGGCTGCGAAAGAAACCAGCTCATAGCGAATACAATGCATGTTTAAAACTAGTTAACAAGTGCTGAATCAGTCTGCACTTTGACCGGAGAGTCTCAAAGGCTAGGCTAGAGTTTGACATTTGTTGTGAGTTTCATTTGAGAGAATCAGTGAAGCATCACGATCGAGTTACATTTTGTTCGGATAATCTCTTATTTTCGTGTTTGAGAGCACGTTGCCAACGTTTTAGGAAATGACGGACCTGGGGTGGGGTTGATATGCCTCTTTTTTTCTTTTTTTCTTAATGTTCTTGAGGGGCATGTCCTACTTCTCAACCGCGGCGTTTTTTTTTTTATCATCCCACCATCCCAAAGTATTCCTATCGAAATCGTTTTGACATTTGAGTAAACTGGATTATGGTACGGGGGCAGAGGTGAATTCGTCCAAGCAAAATTTAAAAACGAAATGAAAAAACGGCAGTGAGATAATATTCTATACAATGTAAATTTTCTGCAGTTATCATACAAAAAAATTCGTTGAAGCCAACTGGAAAAGAGTTGACTTGCGAGTCCCGGTGAACTTCAAAACTGAAATGTAAGGTTTATTTGTTTAAATGAAATTGGATGCCTAAGTTTAAAGTACAAGTGAATTGGAAGGTCCAATATTCCTGTAATTCGTCATCTGTTTGTAAAAGAAAAGGCTACAAGTAATTGTTAAAAGCTTTAAAATGCGTCGTCATGTCTCATGTTAACAAATTTCGAAATAGAGTTTACAGTAACAGACTGGCGTAGGAGGTTTGACGTTCGGCACGTATTCAGATCCTACGTCATCGAGACAACACGTGATCCTGGTACGCCTCCAGTCTCCGACATAAGCGATGTAATTAGTAACGAGATCAGGATATGATCGGGCGTAAGATTTTTAGTTTGTAAAACTGGTCAAATCGAGCTAATATACATTTTTGTGCTCCAGACGATTTTGAATACAAAATGGTCGACATTGATGCCTTCGTTTTGGGGTCGAAAACCATTAGGGATATGCTCTCAAACGGAAATTTAGATAGTGGTATCGTGAGCGACTACAATTCAGATGAAGATGAAACCGTGTCTCTCGACGGAAATTTGGATTTTTCGAAGATATTGCATGAAAAGATGAGGTAGGAATTTGATGGATGAATTTTACTTATGCACAAATCGGCGGAATATTAAGCAGTTGTTGTTGTTTGTCAGCTTCCAGCTTTCTCGAGCTGCACCTCCTTGAAGCTTGAATTGTAACTCAAGACGAATTATTTAATCAAGCTCCTTGAAAACTCCTTTCTAAGCATCTCTCGTCTCGTCATATGTGTATTGCTGGAGCGCATATTGGCATTTTACAATTGAAAATTACAGCTTTAGGTTTATGTATTTCGAAGCAGACGGCTGATCAATTAAATCGATGTATTGTTAAAGTTTAACATACCGACAGACTCGTAAACGTATTGTTTGCCGTGTCTTTCACGCTATCGCGATCAAATCAAATATCAAATTCTTTAGTCAAAAAGAATCCTTAGCAAATTTTACTCGAATCGAAATGCTAGATTCTATGTTGCAACGAAATTAAGGGACTAATTAGGTAAATCAGCGATGGAAACCAGCACACGCTTCGCTGATTCCCTCTTTGCTGTATGTAGGTCATGACCTTGTTTGTTCTGATTGTGATGACAACGTAACTAATCGTATATAAAATTACACTTCGCACTGACTGTAGTATCACTTTCACTGTGAGCTCTTCTCGCGAAGTTGTGCAATGTGTTTTTGAGCTTCGTTTCTGATTTGTCCGTAATCCCGAGTGCCCTGGAGGTGTGAATTGGACTAGAATCTGATAAACAATCACGGTTGAGAAAAACAGGGTAGGTCGTAATCTCTTTTTGAAGAAAGGCCAAGACGCTAACTAGTCTGAGGCAGCTCTTTGGTATAGAAACCTTTACTATGTCTTTCTTTTGGCAAACAATTTTTTTTTATTCAGAATGAGTTGAGAATTTTGATCGACAATTTCTATTAACAGTTTCGATGAAGCTAGTTTTTGGGGCAGTTGGGTCGTCTGGCCCCAGTCAGCGCTGTCTCGTAAACTTACATAACAATTTATAATAAGTTGAAAAAGTTAACCTGTCTCTGCCCTTTCGATTTCGCAATGACCTTTTTACTGGAAGGGTATTTCTAGCCTGCCCTAGCTCTAAGAACTCACGCAGTTTAATTTTTTTTAGGCGAAAATTCCAAAAAAGATGTTATTAATGTAAATTTTGTTACAGTTATTTTCTGCGTAACAAAGTCAAACACGTGCATTTACACGTGAATGCGTAGTTACATAACTAACATCCATTAGGGGTTTGTTTTTGTTTGGAAGTACTATTGTCAGTTGAGAGAAATGAGAAACTTTTGAATTAGCACTTGCTAGCAGATGTGGTAATGATGATGATGCTTTCTCTGGTTTTGGGTGTGGACAGATGCTGGCAGCATAATGTAGGGGAAATGACCTCCAGTAGGGTAGTTCATCTTTAATTGTGAGGGCACCCAAGTCAAAAGTGACCTTTAGCATAGTCTAGATACATCTGTAGTAATATATATATTACATTCTGAAATTTATTTGGTTGATTTTCTCATTGTGCAATGGAGGAATCATGAAAAAGCTTTTCAGTTTCTGAGTGACATGCCTTTTAATTCTTTGTTGAATTAAGAAAACGAGAAAGGGTTTGTTTCTCAATCGGGAATGAAAGAAAATTTAGAAGATGGAGGGGAAAAAACCTTCAGAACAGTGTGGTTTACTTACCCAGACAGAGAGGGATTTTTAAAGAAGGCTGGACATTGCACATCGTGCTTAAATTTTCCAAGTTTATAAGCAACAACACACTAACCTCACCATTTACAAAGCTTAAAAATAAAATGCAAATTGGAACAATTTGTGTGGCTGAAAAGGTTACTTTTGGTAATTGTGATTTTTTTCCATGCTATTAAAAAGGCAAGTAGTGTGGGTATGAATTTGGGAAAAATCTTGACCACTCGCATGGAAACTGGCCATATATTTAAAGAAATGGGTAACTTCCTGTTAGTGAAGATTCAAACTTACCTGAATCTTTCTCTTCTTCGCCTTTTAGAGAAATAATGGTCAGAGAAAGTGAAGTTGAGTGGAGCAGTAATTATTGCGACTTGCCATGCCACAGAATTGTCCAACCAAGCAAAAAATTTTATGCTGCGGCAACAGGCCCAGACGATGGTGCAAAGAACATCATTCTAGAGCTTAGCAGTAAACCAGAGTGTAAGAAAACCAAGAAAGCGAAAGATTGTGATCCATTTGGGGAATGGATAAAGGGGCACTCCCGCGCTTATGGAATTGGAACCTCACTGTATGATTGCAATCCAATCACAAAGTTATTTTCGGGAGATCCAGTAGCTGATGTCTTTGCAGTGATTGCTGGAGAAAACAGTTGCATTCTTGCTCTAGCTGATGGTGTAAACTGGGGAGAGAATTCAAGGTTAGCTGCAAGATGCGCTGTAGCTGGATGCCTCCATCATTTAAGCCAGCATTTGTACACAGCAACTACAACTCGAGAGATCATGTGCATGCTTTTTGAAGCATTTGAGAATGCACAGAAATGCATCATTAATAAGAATGCAACGATGACAACTCTTTGCGTGGCTGTTGTTTGTCAACTCAAAGAAATGGACAGATGGGGACTTTGTGTTGTCAATGTTGGGGACAGCCTTGCCTTTGTTCACAGAAAAAGCAAAGGTGTCCAAGAGGTCACTATTGGCTCCCATTATGACACCCAGGAGAGAGACATGCGCGATCCTGGCGGCTCTTTGGGTCCTGTGGATGGCTACAACCCCGATTTGAGAAATTTAACTTTCTCATTCACCTTTCTCGACGCAGGAGACATTGTCTTTCTTACTAGCGATGGTGTTTCTGATAACTTTGATCCTGTGATAGCTCAGTGTAATCACTGTACAAGTTCTGAACTAGTGCGAACCCACAGTCTTGACTCCATGCTGCATGAAATCAATAGGAGTGCTAGGGATCAGGAAGTAATTTCATCCCTGACTAGTAGCAGCAGAAGTGATCAGGACATTCCACAGCGCACGCATGATGCTCCCATTACAAGGCACCAAAAGATGCTTGCTGACATGACAGAGGTAAACCAAGCACTTGTATTTATCATATTTCTAGGATAGTGTGGGTACTTTACCTACACAGTGCATCTCTCCACTCAGGAGTGTAAATGGGTATCCAGTGAATTGTCAGGGAAACCTGATAAAATGATGGGGAGGGGTGGAAGGGTAATTGGAAATGGACAAGCATCCCACCAGGGGGGGGGAGGGGGAGGGGAGCAATACTCCTTGTCATGGGAGGTAGAATTAATTTCCAGGTTCGATTGTCATGGTCTTGTCTTCTTTATAACCAATATCATACTCTAAGCTTCATTCTCATTAGGAGAAAGCATGAATTTTGAAAAGTTGAATTAAACAATGGCAACAGAAGAGAAAACAAAGTTGTCATATAGTTTTCATAGGAGAGAGACACTTTCATCTTGGCATGTCTCCTTACGTTTTCAATTTGAAATCCTTGGAGGATAGGTGCAGTGGAATAGCCTCTTGCATGTTATCATTTTACTTCAGTTCAAAAGAGTTGGTTGCCTTCACTTTTTATTGCACATTATGTCTTAATATGTTTTCACTTTTCCTTCTAGGTGATCCAGAAAGAAAGTCTCGAAGATCATATCTCAGCACGCCATGTCTGTGCCAAGCTCCTTTCACATGTTATAGTGTGCACTGACAAAAAGCGCAAATATCTGGAGCAAATCAGCAAAGATGATCAGCGCTTAACTACAACAGACAAGAGATATCGGCGAGCCAGAGATAAAGAAATTTCCCGGCATATGCAAGACCTGCCAGGGAAGCTAGATCACGCAGCTGTGGTTGCATTTGAAGTTGGCCACTTCTCAGCTGAGCCTGACCAGCCAGAGTCAGAACAACAGATTGATGGAAAACCCAAAATGAGCATCATAAACTTTTTCCGTGGATGGAAGAAAAATGGAAGAAGAGTGTCAGAGGAAGATTATAACAATTCTATTGAAATGGTTGCCACAGATTCTTTTAAAGAGCTCTATTCCTTATTTGGTAGTTAAAGGATTCTCATATGACAGTCTTGTCCACACATCCTGTAACCGTTTTAAGCCGTTCTGACTGAGAAGTTGAACTATGTTGGAGCTGACATGTGCAGCTGTTCAATTTTTTTACCTTAGATATTTAGTGAAGTGAACTTTCTCAAACTACTTTAGAATGTGGAAAACTGACAGGACTTTTTCATCGAAGTCTTCAATCATATGTATTTCAAAATCATATGTGCACATTCTTATGTTTATAGAAAGTTTGTACATAACATTCCAAAATGTATTTAGTGCTTTAAAGCTTTTAGAATATTTGTATGAATCATTTAGTTAAACAGTTGAAGATTAGGGGTTGTTAAACATTAAGAAAAGATTTTGTAGTAATGCTACACTAAAATTATTAATGGGCTTTTTCATGTTAGCATCATTTTATTTATGCTTCTGGAATTAATTTCTGTCCCTTTCATAAATACATCTATTAATCTCAGTACACTGAAGTTGAAATTTCAAAAAAATTAAAACCCAGAAGAATTCTGAATTCTGTATTTTCTAATTTTTATATTGATTTATGCAGAAAAGCAGACACATAACAGATCTAAAATTAGATTTTATGACTAGTTAGGGAATAAATTGATAGTTTTTCTTTAGTTCTAATGCATCACAGGAGTACATTTTTTAAAAGATAGTACACAATTCTAGAGAGAGACATCTGTCAGTGTATTATTGTGACTAAATATAGCATTTCTTTTTATAGAAATAAATTACAGGAGTGTCAGTTGCTACGTGCTGTTTACCAGATATTTTATTTGTCTTGCCAAGCAGGCAGGGATAACCTACATGATGGATTGGATTACCTTAACACTAACACAACACTCCCAAAAGTGTTTGACATGCAAATTCTCCTCACAATTTTTGTATATAATTCACTTAACTTGTGACGAGAATAGACACTTCAATCAGATTAAGAGAGCTATGTTGATGTAATAACAAATTCTTGAAACTGTTTGCATGGAAATGTACAGCAGCAGAACAGGATAATTACAAATCATATCTTTGGAGTTAAAGTTTCAAGAAAATTCATGCGTGGCCTTGACACTTGACATGCAATGTGATCAATCTACACTTGCAGTTTTCATTAGAATTATGGAAATCAGTGCTCATCAACCAACAAAATGTGATTGCCACTGCAATTCCTTTAATTTGGATTAGAAGTTTGCTCTACTTAGTTTGAGCGTTTTTATGTTGACATTTAGGGCTACAGGGCGTGGCAGAATTCCCATGACTGAGATAGACAAGTGCAAGCCATCTGGGCCAAAGCTGTACTTTGATGCACTCTAAGTTATATTCTTAAAAAAAAAAAAGCAATTTGCATGTGTTTAGACTTCTGTTGTATTTATAAATAGAACAGATTGCCTTTTTTGAAAACAGAATTAAAGTGAATTGTATATGTTCCTAGTTAAGGAGATCAGAGAAAAATGATTGTTATTATTCTGTTAAATCTTTTTAAAAAAGTAAAATAAAATCAATTTAAATTCCACATCTTTATATCTATTTCAGCCGGTTTACTAAACAGTCTACGAACTATTTTTAGCCAGGAGCCCATTATCGCGTTTTCGCACAGTAACTGAAAGAGTTAATTTTGAATAACCAAAGTTTCGACCATTTTTAAGGCAATTAGAATTCTATTCATAAGAGCTGACAAAATAAACATCAGAACGCTCCCTGGCTTAATTCATTAACCATTTACACCCTAAGATCAGTATTCATGTTCTCTATAATGTTGTCTATACATTTCCTTAGGTGCTGACAAGGAGAATTTGTTTAGCAATCAAAAGCCTCTTTAGTTGGTGATTATTTCCTTTATTCTCGTGATTGTAAGGAGAAATTAGATACTAATCACTTAAGGTTCAAAGGGTTTATTAACTGTCAATTAAATGCTATTCATGACAGGCTTAATGAAATTTCCACGGTGAGAACAAGGAGTATAGAATTCCAGATATCGGTTGAACGTAGACTGCATGAACTCCCTTCTTTTCGGCGAAGACCGTCGCGCGAGTTAAAAAAAGATTCTACGAAAAAAAAAAATAATGTTTCGTGCAACTCACTCCTGAGTCGGCGCGGTGCGCTAACATCAATTTTTTTTTTACCCGCTAATTTTTATAACTGGAGCGACGGACTTCGCCGAAAGGATGGCCTGCTCGTTGTTGAGGTTGGAAGTTTAAGGTTGGAAGTTACTTCCAACTTAGCCGGGAAGTCAAAAGCGTGGAGTGGCATTAACTTTAATACAGGTAATTTTCGAAGATGAAAGTTGCTTCTTGTGATTTCATCCAAAGATAAACATACGTTATAGTATATTTACAATTTTTGTTTTCGTTTCAGTATTATCCTCTATCCGGGTCACGAAAGTTTCTGCTTGACGTGATGATTCGTGACAGGAAGTCGACACAGCAAAATCATTCTTTTGTCTTAAAGTTTCGTGTCGAGTTACAGGGATCTCGGCTGAGGCACGTAGTCACGAGAAGAATACAGAAGCAAACCTCAGTCTTCTCTGCGACAGACTGGAACGAAACGAACACGCGATTTAGGTGCGTTATCTTTCAGCTGAGATAAAAAATTTGGCTTACATCGCATACGAAAGTGGAGGAACGGATATTACAAGACAGCAGGTTTGGAATCTTTTGGAAATAGAGTTCGTGACTCGTAACCTTGGCTTCGTTCTGGCTTTATTTTAAAATTTCCCCTAAACCACGCATAGGTATCTTAGAAAAATATCTCTACATTGCCTAGTTTTTACGTGTGTTTCTACAATCACTATAACGCATTAATTAAAATTGCTCACAACGCAAATATCAATGCGGAGATCATTTTCATTTTCAGTTAATTGTCAGCGTGATGCTATCAGTTTTATCTTCACTCCTCCAAATCTTCATGCTTTTTCCCAAACAGGCTCGATGATTTTTCCTGTAAAATGTATTTCCTTTTCTTTGATTTGGACCGAATAATTTCCCCTGACTTCATTAACGTTTCTCAATTCGATCATATTTAAAGTCACTGCGCGTCTCAAGGTGACTCCACCGTAACCTCTGTGTCAAGGAAAAAGCTCCGGGCATGCAAATATCATTTTATCTAATGTAATTTTAGGGATTAATACTTTAAGTCATATTTTCACTTTTGACTGAGAGACGATATGAAATGGCAAGTGACACAGGCATGATTAGAAAAATGAAATTTAATGCGAGTTGTTCCCAATAGAGCCGAGGATGAGTTTTCCGGATGCTCTATTACCAGCAGGTTGTTGCAGACCCGTTGAAACTCGACTTTCATGAGGGGGATTTTGCGAAAATGAAAGTAAAATTTAATGATCTAATTAAAATGCCATACTAAAGGGAAGAAAAGAACTGCAAAGTACACTGCATGCTAAGAAAACTTTGTTTTGAATAAAAGCGAAATTTTCTAACAGGACAAAATCTATTTCAAAACTTGGAAAAATTTCACAAACGAACCCATGCCGCCGTGGGGGAGGGGGAGAGGTTAGGGAGGGGAGGGAGGGGGGAGTCACACAGGGATATTCGCCTCGTCCTTTGCAGATGAAATCCAAATACAGCACGTAAAAAGGTTCGATTTCTCATGGGGGATTCAGAATTTTTTCTTTGTCCCACTAGAAATAGAATGAGAAAGATGTTAAATTCGTTTTATCAAGAGCTTTGGACAGAGAAAATAAAACAGAGTTGCAACTATGAAGCAAATCGTATATCCAGGCTTCGGATTTCTCGTTTGCATGCCCTAGGTAACTAAACTAAAGAGATGCCGTTAGTGATCGAAGCCAAGTACGCTTCCTCTAAAGATGAAATCCAAAATCCGTAACCAAAACAAAACTAGAGGAAGATCTTTTTTTCGTCTTGTCACAAGCGTGGGACAAAGGAAAAAATTCTAGGTCCCCATAAGGAATCGAACCACAGACCTTTGGATTCCACGCTCCGATACTCTACCACTGAAACTCTACGAGGTCTATTACGCAGTTCATATGACACGCGTCCTGCTTACAAACGATCAGCAATGTCGACAGAGTCATGTTTGTAAATAGAATAGAAGAGATGGTAAGCCGGTTCTAAGCCTAGTCCCACGCTCGTGACAAGATGAAAAACATCTTTCTCTAGAACGTTACATAATTAATTCCCTTCTCCTTCTTGTCTGTAACAGAAATGATATCATCGCCAAGTGTTGTGCATTGGAAGGGAATTACTGACCGTTCCGATCTGCCGAGCCACGTAGTGGTGCCAATGAGGAAAAACATTTGTGAAGCAGCCACAGGCCCAGATGAAGGTGTTAAACGCATTCTCCTTGAGACAGCAGATAGCTGCGAGCAAATATGGGAATTGAATACATCCAAGGAGCGCCAAAGAGCCTTTGGCGAAGGGAAGTCTCTGTATCACCATGATTCAGTCTCAGGCGGCCTTTTGGGGGATCCTGTGGCTGATGTTTATGCCGTGATTGCAAGAGAAAACAGCTGCATTCTTGCCTTAGCTGATGGCGTGAGTTGGGGTGAAAAGTCAAGACTGGCTGCTCGTTGCGCGGTGGCAGGCTGTCTGCAGTATCTAAAAACGCACCTTTGTACAGCGAATACGACTCTTGATATTATGGAGATTCTCTATAACTCGTTTAAAAGTGCGCATGAATTTATCCTCAAAAGAGATGGATTGTTGACAACTCTTTGTGCAGCCGTTGTTTGTCAACTTAAAGACTCTGACAAATGGGGTCTCTGTGTGTTAAATGTTGGTGATAGTCTTGCATTCACCTATAATAAGGAAAGAGGCGTCCAAGAGGTTACTTTTGGTTCACACTGTGATATTGAAAGCAGAGACATGCGTTGTCCTGGAGGATCCTTGGGTCCCTGCGTTGGCAACAACCCAGACTTGCGTAATCTCACTTTCTCGTTTACAACTCTTGACACCGGGGATATTGTGTTCCTTACAAGCGATGGTGTTTCTGACAACTTTGATCCTGTAATTTCGCAGTGCGAGACTCCTTCTTTCGCGCACACCAATAGCCTTGACTCAACGCTGGACGAACCGAGAGTGAGTGAAAGGACCACAAATGCCTCCCCAGATGAGAGCGGAAGTGATTATGACCTACCGCGGGCTCAGTTATATGACCTTGCTATGGTGAAGAATATGACAGAGGTAAACGATCTTTTGTAACCGTTCAACTCCCAGACGTGATTCACATGTAACTTCTCCCCACAATATCCAAACACTTTCCAACCAAGCAGGTAATGAGATTACTCAAATGTATCAGGTAGAAGTCGTTATATTGATCTAAGACCAAATTCTCATAACTAATTTGCAAGAAAATGTCCAGCAGCTAGAGGGGAGAATTAACAATCAGATCTTGGGAATTAAAGGGTTAAGGAGACATTTCGATTGAATTTTGTGGAAACAACTTAGTCTAATTACAAAAGGTCGACCAGAAAGGAAGATACTACAAGAAACCGATTAGGACTCACTGCACACCGGTTTCCGTTTTCATTTGATAAGTTGAGAAGGTGACGCTAGTTTTCTAGTTCTATGCACTTATTATTTGATCTGTCACGCTACTCTATCACCCGTGTTGTGTGACATCCCCGAGAACGGCTTCGAAGGACACTAGTCAATTTGCTATCATGGCGTTCTTTGTAAATGCAACATCGTAGGTGTGAAAGAAAGAAACGAGAAAGATCATCCGCAACGGGTAGTAACACTATTAGCAGTTTAATGATTCAAAAACTTGGTTTACCTTTAAAATACTTACAATACCACCCCCGAATCGAACATTACGGTCATGAGGAAAATGGAAATGATCACAAACTAAAGACGCCCTTGATTGTTAAACAAATTCTCCTTGTCAGTATCTCAGGAAAAGTATAGGGAACAGTTTGGAGAATGTACATACTGATGTTAGAGAGTAAAAAGGTTAACCTCCTATTATAAAGGTAACAGTGCTGTAAAAGAAAAATTTCCCTTATGAAAGTATTACGTCACTTTACTTCTTGTTTGCTCAGGTCATCCAAAAAGAAAGTCCCATAGACATTTCAGCTGTAGCAGTCTGTACTAGTCTCCTTTTGCATGTCTTGGGATGCACTCAAAAAAAGCGCCAGCACAGAGAACAAATTCAGGCCCGAGCGAATCACAATCCTAACGGAGGAGAAGACAGAATTCATCAAGGAAGCGAAAGAGAACCTTCGCGCCTTGACTGTGAACCACCAGGGAAGTTGGATCACGCCGCGGTCGTCGCATTCGAAGTTGGACTTTACCGAGGAAATAGACGAGGAAGTGTCTTTGACTTTTTCGTCGGAATCAAAGATGGCACGAGAAGAGCGTCCTCTTGAAACTTGATCGTCCGGGTCAGTGTAGTCTTGAGAAGGACTGTTGTCGGTAGTGATGACTGACGTCTAAACAACCTGAGCGGAATTCACCAGCTAACGCTCGAAAATTCAGCCATAGAAACTCTTAAAAGTGGACAATTTACATCACCAACTCATTTTATAAAAACAATGTATCTATTAATACCACCCACCGACGTAGCAACGCAGTTTCTTTAGAAACTTTCACCCTTTATCCTAAAAGCGTGGTTTTGCATCTTTTCATTTTATTTTAGAATAGCAAATGGTTTTCTCGGTACAAAATCCAGAAATGCGTAAGCTAAAATTTAGAAAGATAACTTTATACTTTTTTCTGTACTTTATCATGAGGTCTAATATATAACTAAATAGTAATATATGACTAACTTTTAATTTAGGAGATTACGAAAATTTGTGTGAAATGTTTACTTGCATAAAGCAGATGTTTTATAAATTATTCTTAAATCACCATTATATGAGAAAATAAATTTTTATGTAGATTTGCACGGTTAATAGTTTAAAATAAATTAAAAATAAAATCAAAACCAGAAATGTTTTTAAGGAAATGAAAGTATTTTGTTAATGACATGATTTTTGGGCCAATTTTATTACCATGCAATGCATTTAGGGGTGACAAGACTAGACTTGGGGGCAAGGCTTCTCAGCTTGGGAGCAGCATGATGTGAGGCAATATGGGAAGGAGGTCAGGTGACTCTTCACCTTGTCAATTTACCACTGTAAAATATGAAGAAAGCACCTCATCTCCTTCACAAATCTTACAAACAGACACCAATGCAATTATTCTAAGAAACGAGTTTTCACCGGCAATATTACCACTACTGTACCAAACATTTGGAAGATATTTCCACAGCTTTGGCGCAACACTTTGCAGAGGGATATCAACTTCTTGGTATGCCACATTTGCTGGCTTGTTTTTTGTCCTGTTATTGACGTACTGTCCAACAGCCAGTGGGTTTTGAGGATCGTTTGTAAGCCAAGTGGTATCACATAGTAAATATGGGCCAATTTGATCTCTTCCAGCACTTGACCTTAGGGAGCAAGAGAATAACTCCAGAACTCAAGAACAGATCAAGGAATTCATTATAGGGGAAAGGGGTTCTCAAACCACACCCTACCCATACACTCACAGTTACACAAGAAAATCAGACAGCTGAATACTAATGAATATAAAAGTCTTTATATGGGCCCAAGTGGCCCATGGGGCCAGTGCTTAACTCCGGTTTTCTTGGCATGAAGCAGTTAGGAGTATTGCTACTCCCCCCTGGATGGGATGCTAGTCCATCGCAGGGTTACCCCCAGCACATTTGCTGGTACCCATTTGTACACCTGGGTGAAGAGAAGCACTGTGAGAGTAAAGTGTCTTGCCTAAGAACACAACACAATGACCCCGGGGGCCGGGGCTCGAACCCGGACCACCCAATCCGGAGTCAAGCGCACTAACCATGAGGCCACTGTGCCTCCACGAGTACCCATATGCTACCTTAAAATTGCAAGAATTTTGGTATAAGACTTGTAGCAAGTCTCTGGTATGATAGAAGTGAATGGAACCACTTGTTCCAGGACCTGTGAAGTTGCTTTTAAATGACAAAACTATCTCAGACATGACCTCTTCCATGCTCTTAATCATTGGAGCCAAGTGGGTATGCAAAGTATGGAGTTGGAGAAATGCATATTGCACAAAGAAAAATGCAAAATGACACAGCTGTTTCCCTAACAACTGCAACTTCTGCATTCCTTTCCCATGTTTTATGCATCCACTTTTTTTTTTCATCTCCTCTAACTAAGAGTGTGGAACAAGCTAACTTATATAAAGAAATCAGTTCTAAAAAGAATAAAAATGTTGCTGCAATTCATTTTTCATTGATTACCTGTAGATCATTTTAGATAATCCTTTATCATTGCCATCAATAAGTATTCCATCAATACAACGGAAGACGAAAGGATTTCCAACTGACTGAATTAAGATCGGTTCATAAGGCCAATAAATTGTCCCTGTTAATAAGAACAGCAAAATGATTCATCATTATGTTGTAAACTGATCATTCTCAGGAGTGACCACGACACAATTTCTCCTTCTAATTTCTCTACAAAATCAAGTAGACAAGTTATGAGAATAAAGAAGAAAATCAACTTGAAGATTACTATGAGATCCAACACCAAATTCTCAAAACTAACTTTATAAGAAATTTATCACAGATAGTAAAGAGAATTACAACTAACATCTAGGGAGAAAAACATTGATGGCAGAGTATTTACTAGGTTTAGGAGATCCTAGAAGTTTTCAAAAGTAGTATAAATTCCTACCTGGGTATAAAGCCACAAGACTCCCTACTGGGATGTCTCCTTTAGTGACAAAAACTCCTTTCCCAGCTCCAGGGATACTGCTCTCAAGTCTTTTAATCTCATAACCTAAGGTGTTATACATCACTCCTGATTGATGCCTGTCATTTGCAGACTGCATCTCAATATCATGAAGAGCATGAAGGACTGTCAAAAGGGACTCAATCACTTTGGTGTCTGGAACAGTCTTGTCCTGATCAGTGGAACCAACCTCTCGTACTGTTCTAGTTTCAAAACCAAACATAGACAGAAACAAACAAACAAGCAAACATCAACAAGCATGATTAAGACTAGTATGTGTCGCAAGAAGAGTGCAGGACACTGAAGACTAAGAATCTACAGATTTATGACAAAAATTGTAATTCATGATAGAAGAACATGAAATTGACAAATGGTACATCCACTGAATATTTCCTAGTCCATGCAAACTAAAGTGATCTCATGGATTAATGTCCGTATCTGAGAAACTACACACCTACCCATCCCCTAACCCAACATCAACCCTAACTTTTTATCAGTTGACTGTTGCTGGGCTAGCTAGGGGAGGGGTAGGTGAGAAGTTGCTCAAATATTGATCCAATCTGACGGGCAAGAGATAGTTCATGGGAGTTATATCTTAGACATATTTGCAAGAACCAAGTAAAGTGACTGACAACCATTGCAAAAGTAAAAACACCCGGCCTAAGCCGGGCGGGGCAGAGAAGGAGTCGCGTAACGTGTAGGGGAGAGGGATTGGGGCGGTGTCAAGTCACGGTTAAAATAATTTTTATATTCAATCATGTAAAATCACACCTTTTCCTTAAATTCCAGGCGATCCAAGGTACAAATCGATATCTGTAACTTCTCCATTTCTCAATCCATTTTCTAATCAGCATACTCATAACAAATCAGCTTCCACCGAAGCTAATGTCTGTATCTCGCTCTGAGTTGTTCCATCTTCTCTTTTTGAGCGAGCAAAACTTTGGTCAGCGGGTAAACATTCGTCCCAGTCTTATGAAGTCAACAACAGAAAATTGCACATGGCCGATCGGATGTGTCGCAAGAAGCTTTGAGCTTGTTTGCGTTTGTTTTTCTTTACGGGAGAGCAAAATGCCGAAAGTAAAAGCAGCTAAGAAGAGCAGAGAACATGGGCAAAACAAGGTGTATCAACAAGGTACTTACGATGTCTAATGAAGTTGTTTTGCCAGTTTCTGGCGCTAGGTATTATTAAGGCAATGTATATTTAATTTCTACCAAGTACAGAGTATTGCAATCTTCAAAGGATTAGCTCAGTTATGATGTGATGTAACGTTGTGATTTTGTTTTCTTGCTCTCCACTCCAGCTCTACAGTTCAAAACGGAGCATGGGCAACATATTCTGAAAAACCCTCTCGTTATAACCAGTCTGGTTGAAAAGGTATGCTTGACAAATCTTTATTTCACACGTTTTTAAGTAAAAGCCTAAATAGGCAAACTGATTTCGTTAACACGCAGCTCCTTCATCATATCAACAGGGTAGAAGTTCAGTCCTTTGTATGCTATCATCGGTTGCTAATTAACGATCATTTACCCTGGTCTATCGATCAGCTGGGTAAAATTAGCGAAAACTGAAGGTTAGAAAGTTACTGAGCTTTAATTTTTGGCAAATTTAAAAAAAAAATGGCAAATTTTTCTTGAAAGGGATAGACTCAGGTGACATTATACGATGGAACTTAGCCTCGTCCACTTTACTTTTTCTTGTCAAGGTATAATCCGTGTTGAAGAATATGTTCTAAATATAAATGTTTTTATAATTTTTTTCAGGCTGGCTTACGATCCACAGACACTGTTTTGGAAATCGGTCCCGGAACAGGGAACTTAACGGTTAAGTTATTAGAGCGAGTAAAAAAGGTAAGCCCCTTGAGCCGTGTTTGTTTATTGTTTACTGGAGAAAGATCACATATCTGTCTTGATTGAATATTTTCTGCGAATTACGGTGTGAATGAGTTTCTCTTTTTGTGCAATCATGTGTAGGTTATTGCTTGTGAGGTGGATCCTCGCATGGTGGCTGAGCTTCAGAAAAGAGTGCAAGGAACGTAAGTTGAGCATATTCTATT